ATTGTCGCTATTGTTATTGTGGTACGCTGTGATGATTTCAGTGATAGAAGCGTAGTTTTACATGATTTCAGTATATTTAGCAATTTCCTTAGCGACTTATTTCCTCCGCAGGTCGCAGTGTAATATTTAAGGTTGGCATTAATTAGGCTATGAACTTCTATGTGTGCCGTTTGTTACGCTTCGCGTTAACCTTTCACGCGTCTATTTCAGGTCCATTTTCGATTTCATGCACATCTTGAATCCATTAAACTTGTCTCCCAGATTAAATTTTACGAACTCCGCTTGTACATCCTTTTCGATGGACGCCACCATGCCGGAAGTCAATTTTTCTGTAAAGGTAGCGGGAGTGTTACGGATAGAAAGTTTAGACTAGATCGCCCTTTGTTTATGTAGTTTTTCTATTCAAAGTTGACTATTAACTGAATATTAAATAAGACGACTTAATTTTGATCTGGTAATGAGTTTCTGACGCGTAAATCTGACCTGATTCGGTATATTCAGTAGAAAAATAACAGCGCAAGCAGAAACTATCTGAATAGAATATTTCTGGGCTGGCATTAAAGCGTTTCGTGGTTATTATGCTAGTAAATAAACGATACTGTTTGTTCCGCCTAAAAAAAATAGTGCGCCGTTTTACTCGAACTTCAACAATTAATTCATCTGTTGTGTATTCACTGTCACTTTCCACGACTTTCTCATCCATTCAACAATTTCATTTACGCTTTATCACCAGAAATGTTCATTTTTTATTGACCACCTTGTCCTTCTCAAACAGTGCTTAAGATCATTCTAGTCCTACCACATGCCAACTAGATCTCGATAAAGATTTGCCTTAAGTTCCGTTTATTTTACAAGGAAGTTACAGCGATCAGTTTGTAAGCCGCAAAAACATTACTTAAGGTACTTTGACGGTAGATATGGGGTACGGCCTCTAATGCAAGCTTGAGCAAGCTACTTATCGTAACGGGCATGCGTTCATCCGCTATTCCCGCTCGTGCAGACAAAAACTTCGTTTTTTTTTTAACAAAGCAACAAACCCGTGATAGAGAAAGAAAAGTGCGTCACTCTCGAAATTTTGACAAAGATTGGCTGTCGAATCTTTTTGCGTTGGGCGAAGTGTCAATGATATTTAAATTTTTTCGCTCGGAGTCGACGGTATACTTTAATATGAGTTTTTATGCGCCTTCTAAAAAATGCTAAAGATTTCTATAGGGCAAACCGAGATAGAAGTAATGGGGTTAAGATTTGAAGAGTTCAAAGAAAATCATCAAAGAGGCTCAAAAATACATTTTTTGTACATCTGGATATTGAAATACGGAACTGATCTGCAAAAACTAACGGTCGTCTTGGAGGAGAGAGTATCAATTGCCAATTGAGTCATGCAGATTAGCTCAAGCGGTTTGTTATTTTGCGATTTTCTACGCCTTCTAGCAGCTTTGACTCAGCCTAAAGTTAACTTCGCTGGAACATTTTTTATATAGCCTGTTCGAGTGATGCTTGGTACACTGTAAAAGTAATTTATAGATTAAAGAAAATTTAAAAAAAAAATGACGAGTGAATTGTTTAGGTCCCAACAGCGGAATATATCGAACGATCATGACTGTCACATATTACATTTTCAGTAGGCGCAAAAAATTCATTGACTCCACATATAGCCTTAGATATAGATATAGTCTCAAAAACAAAAAAAAAAAAGCATTTGTCAATAGTTTACATGAACAGTAAATGGTTCAATTAGGTTAAAACGCGTCTATATGCAGTGATCAAATCTTATATTTATAGTGTTAGTTACGGATTTTCAAAAATTTGAATTGAAATTCCATTAATTGTGAAAAATAAATTTCTGTAAAAAAATTCAGTAACTAAGGTATTTCGCACCGAGGAAGCAACGAAAGGAAGAAAGAATATTCTGCGCTTACCTGTACCACTGCGATATTTTTGAATGACCTCTAAAATCTGATCCTTAACCTTTTTATCCATAATATCGACCGACTGTGTACAGTCGTCAAACGACTTCATAAAATCTGACGCGGACGTAACCGTCATGATGACGGCCGTAAAGGCCAACAAAAGAGGAAATACTTTAAACATGATTAGTGCAGCGAATGTTAGATGGACGTCGATCTATGTCTGTCGAGAATTTTGACGAGTGGCTTTTTAAATAGCTATCCATAAACCTGCTAATGACACTTTGCACGCCTACATTCGATAGTAAATTTCCTGATCACCTATGATTAACCAGTAGCAGGTCTAAAATGTTAGTGTTTCAACTATGTCTGTTCAAGGCGAGATATGTTGTTTGACAGCTTTGTCGATAGGATCACAGTGATGATACGAATCGAGGTCTCGTTAGCTTGAAGGAAAAACGTACCCATGGTCACCCCTTAAACTTGAGTTATGAGATAGCGGGAAGGCAGACCAGTACTTGGTTTAACTAGGAAATCGAAGAACTAAATTTAACTATTCTTCTTGAGCCATCCATATAGCTGAAAACTATTAAATATGATGAAAAAGTACGCCCTTTAAGACGGTTGGAATACGCCGAGAGACCTATTAGGAGATATGACGAAAGTTACATAGACGATTTGATAAGAACAAACTGGTTACCGCATTCTCAGAGCAGCCCTTCACCGGCTACAGTAATCGTTGAATCGCTAGCCAGCCTCAGTGAACACATCTCATTTCCGTGGCAAGGACCAGAGCGCTTTCAAATGGCTATAATCTGTCTGATCTCATGTCACCCTAATTTATTAAAAGTTAATTTGATTGGATTTTGTCGTTCACTACCATGTATAAGCGTAGCTCGAATACAGCGCAAATGTACATTTTGAAGTAAGGTGAACCCTAAATCTTCAGTGCCAGCCACACCTGTAGGGTTCACTGAGGTGTTGTCTATTAAACTTATCTTTTATAGTCCAGCATTGGTTTTGATTCGAAGTCGTTTACGTCTTAAATTCCGGACCCATCCATAAGTACACACGGTCATAAACGCCGTTCAGTCGCGTTAAGCGATTTACTTCTGTAATTGTCGCGACCTAGTGGAATACGCCACAGTCCGTCCATTTTACAACGTCGTATATCTGGGCATCCAGAACATCCCTCGCCTCTATTCTGTTCTTAATCGTCTTAGCTAGCTTCTCTCTTCTATTCAAACTTTTTCCGTGCTTACCGAATATAGGTTACTGTATTTTTTTTTTTACTATTGCGATTTCAGTGCGTTGTTGAATAGAGCTTTGACCTTTTTGCAATGCTTTTTATGTTGTATGTGACGATCTGGTTCCTTATTTAGAGTTTTTCGTTGAGCGGTCTTGCGTCGATTATCAAGCTGTTTGTTTCATACGAAAATAGTCATACTTCGAATGCAAGTGCTCTATTGCTAATGCTGTTCTGTAAACTTTTCGCAATTTGGCGTAAATGACTTTTGTGCCGTGATATATTAGGTGCGGCTAATATTTAGCTCAGGTAGCCCCGGGGCGCTGCTATGAAGATTTTCATCGTCGCTGTCAAAACGGCGACTGGCCAGATTATGTCTACCTTAAAATACATTTGATACAGCACAAGTTTTATCCTTAAACTCACTAAATTGGGTTTTATGTTTACACGTCTAACATGGTACGACAAATGTTGCTGCTAAGCGATGCTGCGTGTTCTAGATTAAACATCTGGCTTAAATAGATCGAATATACGTATTTATACTTACATAGACCGCCATACTCCATCGTCTACATGTAAATTGCAAAAAAAAAATTGTTTTTACACATCAATTGGGAAAATAAGATACTTCCTATTTCTATTGTGATTTAATACTTGTACCTGTTCTGTTTGAAACAGACTCTATGTATTACTTGTGCTACGTGGTACTCTAGAAGATAATGAATCTTGTCCTCTGTGTTCTACTCCGCTTTTATTAACAAAATGTTGGTATACTTTATTTTATCTTTTTTTTTCGATCTGTCCAGTTCCGCGGAAATTCTTTTGGGCCGTCTTTCCTCGAAAGGCTGAGTACTACAAGCGAATTGTTGCGTCAGATTCTCACAGTAAAGCCAACGCTCCGTGTTAACGGGTTCGTCTCTTTTGCACCAGCTGGCGGCTTCTAGTTCAGCGTTTGTGTTTTTGGGGGGCGCCAATTGCGGCCGCTCGATGGCGAAATACTGTCTTAGCGTGCCGATAGTTCATGAATAGTTTAAACGACATGACTTCAAGGTCTGAGGTTTACGCAGTGGTTAAATAGTCAATATAATCTTATACGTAGGAGACGAGTGGGTACTAAATTGCGTTTCTCTTCGGTAAACTGCTTCTTAGGCCAGAGGTAATATTTACCTAAATGACATGTGTTATATATATGTATGTCTTATATAGACCGTATATACGATATGTGAGAAATATAACATGATACGGTGCACTCTGTTCTAAGCTGTTTTATTTTTACTTAGTTAAAATAGTGCCATTTGATACCTTAAACAAACCCTAAAATAGTCAGTCATAAGAGATTAAATAAATTCATGTGAATTTATTATAACAGCGAATCATCCAACGATACAGGAATTTACCTCCCTAGAGACTCCAATCTCATTTAACGCATTTCAATAATCTTCTTCTAGAATTCGACTTACTATCGGGTCTCTTTTCAGCGCATAAATCATCCAAATCTTTTAGTTTCAGATTCGGCCCAGTTTATTCAGCCGTGCTTTTGTAAAAGCGATAACATGCACAAGAACTAATAAAAGCATCGTAAGGATTCAGATTATTTTATTAGACTGAATAAATCCTAAAGAAAACTGGTTCGATTCTGCTAGTTGTGTTCAAAGCCTCCAAAACAAGAGGAGACGTGACCCCTGGGATAAATATGCATGGTAAAATGTCCATTGTTCGGCCTCAATAGCCTAGAGTAGGTGTCTTCTGACTCTCGAAAATTATTTTAGGGTGAATATGTTTATAAAAATAAGGAATATGTTTATACCAAAATTAATAACAGTAATAATAAGTATTAGTAACATTACCGACGTAAAGGGGGCGGCAAGAGCAAGCTTAGACCGATTTAGTGCAGGTGGTTTCTCAAGCTGTCGCTTTCTTTTTCGTCTGCTCCGTGGTTGCCTTTTACGTTGATTCATCACTAGATTCGCCTTTGGGTTTGGGCTCCACCCAGCGATAGTAGAGCATAAGCCCACACGAATCTAAGTTCTCACCAGCGGCCTAAACCCAACCCGAGGTTTGAGATTCTTGACTTCGCTATCTAAAAAAAGATAAAAATTAAAACCGAAGATTCTAGTTGATAGGGAAAATTGCCTGCTATGTACTATGCACATAATTTAACCATTGAATAAAAGAACATTTGAGGTGGTTAGAAAGCGCGAAGTTCCGAAACTCTGCATTATATATCGAGATACGTATTTAAAAACTTACAACTGAACTTGACCCAGGACTACCTGGATTTTTCATTATATAGGTCCAAGGCCCATCCCATTTGAGTTTTCTTAACCCAGGCAGTTCATACCTTAATTTTCTTAGTGACCGTACGACAAGCTTCCGTGAATTCTAGCCAACGCTCTAAGTATACGGTCTTTAAGGAGTCTAATATAAATGTGATTAGATGAGACCTAAAAACATGATAAATTGGATACGTCTTGGTAGCTATTTATTGATTCATAGTTGCGATCTTTTTTTTTGGAGGTTAAGGGCAAATGCATAATGCAGATCGGACATCATTGACTGTGCTTTGTCCGGTACTGTGGGACTCTCACCCACTAAACCCTCGATCCCTTGATCAGCTTAGTTGCGAAGTATCTACCGCACATTCTGTTTAACGTAGATATATATATATATATACATATATATACACAATTTGTCATAGTCAGTTACCTTAGATAGACGTTATAAAGTGGTGTATTTAAACATATTGGTTTACGTATTTATTACGCCAAGTGACACACTGTATATTAAGGCACTGTATTCGACCGTCAGCAAAGCTTATAATTTCTACCTGTGACGACCCAATACTCATACAGCTTAAACAAGCATGTAAGGCTTCATACAGTACATATAAGCTCTACGTTTGCTTTCATCGCTAACAAAATGTCTATAGTTTTTTCTCGTTCAATGTCATTTCGTCTGTAAAAATCCAACGTTAAATCAATTACTTATTTTTTAGATCCCCTTAGCATTGTACTTCTCATCTGGGTAAGTTTTATTTGATTGATAAGTTGTCAGTACCGATAGCGCTTTACTTAAACGAGCTATTCGAAATTGCGATATATATATATATATATATATATATAGCGATTTAATCTCCATAGCATTAAAACGAACATTATTAAACGTGCTCAGGTACAATTTAATGGTTAAGTCTACCTAGGCCAAAAAAGCAGCCAATTATTCCTATGAGAAAATTCTCTCTAAATATTGAAACTCATACTGCCTTCAATATTCCTTAAAACCTTTAATTCAGTTTTGATATATATTTCTAAATTTAAATTCGCTTTTGATGAAGGAACAAATCTTCACATGGCAAGTAACTAAGCTAAATAAAGAAGTACTCGTGCACCCAACGAATAATACACCTTACATCTTGTTCCTAAATGGTATAGACAGATTGTAAATGCTGCTTCTGTGAAAAACGGGAGCTTTCCATTATTAGATAAAAGGGCAAATGTAGCTTAGTGAACGCCTGTCAATACTATCGTTTCCCATATTCTACAGTATTATGACTGTCAATTACACAAAGATATAATGAAGAGTAAACGTATCTTGATCAGTGACTGCAATATATTCGGAGGGAGTCTGGTTTTCACATAGAAAGAAGAATTCCGCTGTGATCATGATTACATGGATCACTGATCTGTACCAAAGGCTTCCGCAAAATCCGTTCAAATAGGCCACCTGAAAGCTGACCATCTAGAGCAAAAATGAAAATACACATCGAAATAACAAGTTAGAGTATTTACCGTAGAATAGTTCTATTAAATAGTTCTATTAAATTAGAAAAATACTTCTATTAAAGTATTTTTTGTGAGGTCTAAAACAGCCCCGACCAATTTTTCGTCTTCGTCGCCTTCACCGTTAATGTAGCGTTTTCCAGCATCTTCTATTTCGGTGATATCCGGCTTTGCTACGGCGACGAATCCAATGACGCACACTGATACCAGAACGGAGATTGTTCTAGATATATCGATTTAAATACAAAAGTATTCGAATATTAGATTCAAATTTGGCAGAGGATCGCGCTGTTAGCTAAAAGTAATCGACACGCCCAAATAGCAACTTTGCCGCCTCTTCTATTCTGAGCGGTGAGGACCTTGAAGGTCTGATCCCTTGAAGCTCAGCGATCATATACTCAACTAGCTAGGTCCACTTTATGGATTGACAGAGTCTCTAATAGGACCGCACGTAGATCACGAACACGAGCCACAATGATGGAACTCCTGACAGGTGAGCTTCTCCTAATGCGCTGGCATCAAAGAGGAGCGGCTTTTTAGCTAGTCAAATAGAAACGGTCTATGCTGACTTTGAATAATAGATCTCACGTGCCAGTAATGGTAGAAATACGTCGATACAGATTCAGTCGTCCGTATATCGCTACGCGCGGTGTTGCCGTCTGTTTAAGCAGGTGAAAATATTAATGCATTTTACGTTTATTTAGGTGCAGAATTCTACGTGTTAACATTTTGAGCACAACGTTCTCTAAAAAAGCTAGCGTTTGAAGATCAGTTTTTCAGATCAGAAAAACATTCAATAGTTCAACGTCAAACACCTCCATGAGATTCGACAGCATAATTTCGAAAACGTATGTGTAATCAGACAGCATGTACAAAATCACCTCGTACTCGGTTAGTTGCTCTGCGCAATGCGTAGGAAAAAAACTGCCATACATAAGTAGAAGATGCTTCAGAGCTCTGACGAGAGTATGGAGACAGTTCCATTGTTGCCACTAAAACTTCAATTTGCATTGAAAGCTTCCGTAGTGTTTGTCCGTGAAAGTTATGTTGTGTGTTTGTGTGGCTGATTTGATGCGCCCTGTTAATCCTAGTCTGAAACTATTTTTCAATACAGCCGTTAGTAAGAGAAATTTAAATCAATACCGACCGTTAACAAACGAAGAGATCTAAAGCAGCTGACAAAATTCATCGAGGATCCTCGCCACACCTTGCGATATATGAATAAGTGTTATGAACTAGGTACTATTGAACACAGTTATCTCTAGTTCTGAATATGTTGTTAGATTTCAGATACATAACGAAACGATTCACTTAAAGGAAACTGACATTAACCATTTGATCTGGTTGTTTTTATGATAAACGAAGTTTCGCGCAGAACATCACTGCAATTTAATTGTTCTTTGGCATCTATATCTCATGAAGCACGTAGTAACAGTGAGAGGCATTTAAATAAAGTCTATCATAGAACATTGTTAAGATGTTAACAATCAAGAGGCGCTCAGAATTATTATCAGATATACTTACGCCATCTGGTATCTGAATATTTCCCTTAAGCCTTTCACGGTAGAAACGATGCTATTTTTGAATCTAAAAACATTATATGTAGCGGACGACAGTTCGAATACTTTTGAGCTGGTCCCTTAACTGTGTAATTATTGTACCACTAGCAATAAAAAAAAAAATACAAATTCACAATAAATCGAAAAAAATACCAAATATCTACCAAACATCGGGTCTTTCACTTTAATATAACAGCAATTTATGTCTGACGTAATTAACGTTTCTAAGAATTTCAACTGGTTTCAACGATCTGCAAAGGAGACAAATAAATGAACGAGGATACCTACGATACCCATTTTCTCTGATTGAACACGGAAGAACACTTTTAGTACTTAACAGCCCGATGGAGAGAGGATTTGGATGTTGTTGACGGAATGGTAGGATGACGCGACAGGAAATATAAAATAATCGAGAATAAAAGCATCCATTCTACTTTCAAGTAAGCTTTTTAAGACTAGTGACTGAAAGTTAAAAACGCATTCTTTGTTTGTCGAGAAAATGCGATAAACTTGGAGCTGGCAGATGAAAGGTACACATCACTAAATGAGTTAGATGAGCGGGAAAGTTCAAAAACCCAAATTACCAAAAAAAAACTAATGGAAGATAACATTTTGACCTCGAATCAGGCGTCGTTTCGAATAAATCGGACGTTTTCGTATTAATGTTAAAAAAATGGCTGCCGCGAGCAAGTTATAACTATCTTTGTTTTCAACGGCACTTTACCCAGTAATGTCTACCTCAGAAAATATCATGACTCAACACAATAAGTGAGGAATATTCGCGTGCGATAGGAACACATTCATTTTACAAGGGCCAAGTATCGCAGGCCAGAACTAGCAATTTAGGTGAGCAATGATTAAGGTCTGAACTTCCCGTGGACACAAGTGTCAGCTTCTTATAATTGCTTATAATATAATAGGACCGAGATTTACACTCTTCGTTTGCTTCTTGCGCAGCTGCCTTGGCCATTTTGCCTGTCAGCAAATTAGCAGAATTGGTAAGAACTTTGGAGGCGCTCTTTTCGAAACCTAAAGTATACGTATAGTAGGTTCACATTGCAATTTATCAATTTTACCTACAGAAATTGTATTTAGTAAAGCTGCAAATAAATTACCATGACCCATTCATGCCAAATTGAAAACAAGTTGACACTGTGTACAGTTATAGATAGGTGTACAAATTTGCTTTTTCGTCTCTATGTCAACTGATCATATGCGCTAGAATCGCCGCAAATAAACTGTTCAACTTTCGTACATACAGTTAAAACTTTTCTAGAAAATGGCGGTTTGGCTTTCCTTCCGGTCAGAATTCGCACTACAGAAGATCGTCGTACGTTAAAAAAAAAAATGTAACAACCTTACAGAAGAAGTCATAGTCAAATTTCGTTCAGGATTCTATTAATTCCCTTCGACTTTGAACGTCTACGTAGAAACTATGAAAGTTGACGTTTTCGTTACTCTGCTATTAGCGTCTCAAGACACTAAAGGATTATACGCCGCCACAGTCTGAGATAACAGAAAACGTTGATTCATTAATCCAATTAGCTTTAAGCCCACCGTACTTAGGCTTCTCGCCCTTAGCGATAACAGTAATTTCCATAATTTAACCCATCGGTCTCCTCTTCAACGTATTCTATAAGTGTACGTTCAAGCTCCTTGCATTGCTTCGCGTCGTTGCCAGACACGATTACAACGGCGCACTGATGAAATTGCCTTATTTACATTATGACTAACTGCATTGTTTGCTAGATGAATAAAATCATGACAAGACATTTTTGCTTATGCTTCTGTGACACGTAATTAGCCAACCGTATAGGCTGTCTAGGACTAGTAAACCTGCACGTAAGGCCCTAATCGCCCAGTCATTCATTCTACGAAGTCAAACAAACAATAGCCAACGCCGATGTGGAAAAAAATAACGAGAAGTGATTTGGAGGTATTTTCCACAACGGTTACGTCGACAATGAGTTTCGTTCGTGATGATGTCGTGCATGATGTTGTTGACCTAGGTTACACAAAATCGGAGTCAACAGTGCGGTCGAGATATTATAGAGTGTCAATCACGAGGTGCTGATTACGTGCGTCATGTCACGTAAATACTTGCTACGTTTTCGAATGGGGAAGCTGAATTGGTGATTGAGAAAATTCTTCAGACGGTCTAATCTATTCCCGTTTTTATTATAATTTCTAAGGGGAGCGTAGTTAGCCATGTTTA